CCATGGTAAGATAAGGTCTTCCCTGCCTGTACTTAAAAAAAAAACTGTCCGAATTTTCGCTTCCGAAGTCAGTTTGAAATCAATATCCTAATAGTGCGGGGCCATAGTGACATAAACACAACATATTTGATATGAATCCTTGGAAAAAATAAACTTGAGCCTGCAATCATTTCAAACTGGTAATTTGTCCGCGGATAACTTCAAAAAATACTTGACCTCGATGGGTCGACACTTGAGCCCACGTTACGGTCAGGTGATACTGGTCAGTGGATGCCCTGTTTTGACAGCTGTCGATTGATCACAACATTGATGTGCAATTAGTTTTCTCGGGCTCCCAAACTAGCTAAAAGTGTGAGGGTAAACATTGGTTGTCCTGTGGTGTGGACGGACAGTCGGTCGGCGGTCGGTGTACGGTCACGTGATTACCAAATTTTCTGGGATGGGTAGATTTACTAAGCTATGGGGCTCCGCCCACGCGCGCGCGTAAAGCTCTGCTAAAAAGGTTTATCCAAGAAGTAAAATCCAGTTTTAATGTTAATCCACATAAATGAGATACAAAATCACTTCTCCCAGAGCAAAATGTCTGAATGTGAGTAATTCACTAACTGTAGGATTCTACTTTTTTGTAGTGGGAAGAGGTGAAGCCCTCTCCTGATAGCAAAATGATAAGAGTTCTTACATTTGATAGCTTGTTCCTGTCACTACAAACTCGCTAAAACTCGAATGATCAATAACAAAGTCTGACAACTTGTTAAATGATTACTAATGTGTATTGGCCAAATTTCTGCACCTACCTGAGGATTGTGACCTTTTGAACCCAGATTAAAAAAGTGTTTACAGTTTTGCTGTTTTCGTTTCTCTGCCATGCTGTCAGCTGGAAGCGACCAAAAGAAGAAGAAGCAACCAGTCACTGAATGCACAAATGAGGTTGGCCGGCCACTTAGATGGCGACAACACACATCAACGAGAACAGCACAGGATACAGCAGATAATTTGTAATATCTTTTGAACAAAGCTTACATCCTATAGCATATGTACTACTGCTGCAAAATTGAATCTGAAGTTACTCTGCAGCCTTAAAGATTTATGGATAAGAAGCAACGCCGAGATTGTTGCTTTTGAGCTGATTGTTAAGACCAGTGTAGCCGGTGACATACAATCAAGTAGCCAGCAGAACTCGGGCGGTTGCCGGCCTGCATTGAGGCATGAAATTTGATCGTTGTGTCAAAGTCTTTGTTTGTTGAGGTAAATATCTAATTTAGCTGATAATTTGACCATGAGTCACATTTGTCCGTTGAGAAGAAAGATTAGCTTGGAATCATATGGATACAAATTGTTTATCAAGTGTAAAATTATTAGACTATCACGATGCCAGGCAAAGGCTAGTCCATTTACACTTTAAGTCAAAAGAAAACTTCTCTAATACCACATTAAACCTGTTATCTATCATCAATATCTTCGCACCTCCATTTGTGAATTGGCAAGACTGACATAGTAGAGCAGCCAAAACATAAAAATATCTGGTATTCCTCAGGATTCATTACTTAACCATTCATGGCATCGATGAAATTATTTCTGTGGGCAACTAAAGAAATCTAAAAAATGTAAACAAGCAATTACTAAAACCTCAGGCCTCAAAAAATCATCTGTTTGTACTCTGAAAAGTTACTCAAACGGCTTTCCTCTTTTATTGATCACAAATACATGGAAATAACAAATTTTTCTTATAAAGGCTATTACTAACCCTCATTCTCACGGGTCATTTTCATTTTCTTCACTTTATTTATCGTTCAAGCTGTATCCTCCATATTTCCTTCCAGCTTTGATGCCCGCACTTACTTTCAAATTGAAACTCCTAGTATTATTGCTCTTATCTGAGACAAGAGAGCAAAACAATTACAAAAATCAGTGAAATCAAACTCGTTTTAAAAGCTCGACATAATAATAACTCTGGCTGACGTTTTAAAATTAGGATGTGATAAACAAGGAGACAAATTCTTTTCCAGTTTAAATATGGAAGAACTTCCTGAATGGACGTATTCAAATATACTGAAAAGGCAAAAAGACGGCTTTATTTGAGTGGTGCATACTCTTAGCTACATGGATTAGTTTAAAGACTTTATCAGCCAATACAAACGCATGCCCCTGAGAGTGGTCACACAGCTGTTGCTAAGATCTATGCACATTTTTTTGTTCTTCCATTTTTTAATTTGAAATATATCCTTTTTTCCCCAACAAATTTAGGATCAGTAGTGGAAGTAAGTATTAACCGGCGGAAAAACTGTGTTATTCTTGACTCCGATGAAGAAACCTTATTAACCACATGGCAAAATCTGGAGGAGTATATGTTAAAGGGGAATGATTCTAACGATGCATGGCAACTCTGACCCACTGATAAAATGAATTCAATGCTAAGATGCTAATAAAAGTCTTCATTAGGTATGCGTAAAATTATTATCCATATTATGCCTTTTCGTTAACCTACCCACCTTTCGAACATTGGAAAAAAATGGAGTTTTCATTGTTGCACGACTGGCTTCAGAATTTTTTTGAAAGCAATTATTCAGCTAACATTAGACACTAAGGAAACTCCTTTCAGAAAATGATTTAAAAATTTCCGAAAGCAGAAGACAATAGTTTCAAAAATTTCAGCAGGTTTCAGCAAGTGTGGATGTGAGTTGGGTGGTTCGGTACCCTTGAGCGGGACATATACACCAAGATTTGTGCTCTGTAACAACAAGTTCCAGAGACGATCATTGTTTTGTGTTAAAAGAAGGGGATTTCTGGATTTGCCTTCACCCAGAATGCCAAAATCTTCGTTCCATGTCATTTCAAGTGACTGGCCTGCCGAGTTTGCATGTTTGCACATTAAACTCATCTCTGATTGGGTGGATGTTAGTGGAGGATTCTCTCTTTCTGCCGAAAAAATAGCTTCCTACCCATCTTATTCTGAAACGAAGGAGCTGTTGAAGGCTTTGGTTATCCCTGTTGGTCATCACGATGCCTGAAAGGTAACAGGTAAAACTTACATGGTATAAGCCCCCCGTTCCACATTTCGCCTGGTTTTTTCCACATAAAGGCGCAGTCAGGAAATGTCACCAGCTTGTATAAGTGTACAAGAAAGGGGTTTGTTAGCAAGGGAAAACAGGAGAAATCCCACTCATCATGTGTGCCCTTACATGTTATATTCTGCTGTTCGGAGGACAGTAGCAGGCCACCTTGTCCATCTTTCTCCATCCCTTATTGCTTAACTCCTTCCTCTGCATCTCCAAACACTCAACACCCCAAAGACAGTTCATCTACATCCAGAACGTCCACATTAAATTTGCACTCACTGCAGAAAGTACCTTACTCCTTCCCACCAGATCAGCTAAAAGCGATGAATATTTAAGATGCTGGCACTTTCCTTGACACCTCACAGGGTTGGCCCTCATTGTTTGTTTTTGAAGACGACATCTGCAGACTTTACAGCAGGCCTTTGGGCACCGCCAAGCTTCATCCTGTCGCAAAAGCTGACAGTGTGATTTACAGCAATCTTAATCCTTTTAAAGAGGTTGTCGTTAAAGTCAAGAAGTGTCGCTCTTCCACATGTTAAGCCATGCATACAGTTTTCCCTACAGAGGAAGGTGAGCTTGTAGACTTTTTTCCAAGCTCTTGGCCAAAGAGGCTACGGTGGGCCTCCACTCTGAAATGATTCTTGAGGGCTTTTTGTTCCAAAAGGGACGCCTTGTTTTGATCTGGGGTATTTTATAATTTTTTGGTCAGATGGGAAAACTTACAGTTCGTAATTTTAATCATGAAATCAGTGAAAGCCTGTTTTGTACCATAGAAGTTAATTTGATGGCTGTGCACTCTTTCTTGTCTTGTCCAAATCATTGGTTGTACATACCACTCCTAGGAAATCAGCGTGTCAATGGAACTTCATAAATTACCACATCCAGGAACTTTGTTATTTCCATCTTTGTACTTGGATTGTCTACCCCAATGATGCAGCTACTACAAATGAAGTGATCTCTCTTGAGGAATTTCTCTCGAGGCGTTACAAATCGATAATTTCGATACTCGATAAAATCGATTGTAATCGATAATTTTCGATACTAATTACTTGATTAATATCGAAAATCGATAGAAATCGATAGCGGAGGTTTTTGTGATTATCGATTTTGATCGATTTTATCGATTTCTGTAATTATAGTTCGATTTTAATCGATTTCTATCGATTTCTATCAAAAATATCGATTTCGTCAATGGAACTCAGACAAAGAAGAAGACAGAGCTTAAAAGCAAGGAACAAAAGGCAAATGGATATCGTGGGCCAAAAAACGGGAAATAGTACCCGTTCTTGATATTTCCTGTCAAGGAAACGACGATAAAAAGACTGAAAGCAGTTAAAAGACCGGTATAGGCAGTTAAGGACGGACGAGGCGTAAAGTTAACCCTAGCGGGTCTTAAACCGCATGCGGTTTGTCGGTGGCTTCAACGTACTGTACTCTGGAGTTAACACATACGCTTTCTTTATCCCACACCTTGAGTCGATAATATAAAATACCTTTAATCAGCCTTAATGTACTGTAAACAAACTACAAAGGTTTTTAAAACTGTAATAATAATGCACTTGTCGCTAGACTCAAAAATTGAAACATGCTCAACGATAACGAGAAAAAAAAAAGCAAAAAGCGATGCTCGTTCAGTTTTAGGTAAACCAACTTTGTTACGCGTGAGCGAGTAAATAGAGACCTTTAGATTGGACTACGAGTGCGAGATTGAGTACGAGTACGAGTTTTCAAACCAAATTCGTCCGCATCATATAACTACTTATCACACCAATATTATCCCTAACGTTTATTTGTGTGTTAGTCAGCAACAGGAAAGAGTTATAGTTCGGGGATACAATTATATCGAAATTCCAAAGTCGTACTCATGACTCAATTTCGTACTAAATAGTCAAATCTAAAGGTCGCTAATAAGTAACAACTGTTTCACCAAGTATTTGTTGTAAATTAACTTGAGCGAACAGCCAAGAAGATAACACCTCCATCCACACGCCGACGTAAATGAATCAAGTGAGCAAAAAGGTCATTACACATGAATGACACAACAAAAGGCAATAGACCGCGAGAATAAAAGTTACAATTTGTACGAAAAAGAATGCATTGCAAATATGCTCCAACAATTTCCAAGAGAAACAATAGGTGAGAAAGGATCTGGAGAAGTTTCTCTTTTCTCTCATCGTAATAGTATAAGCAAGCTATGTTATTATTCAAAGTTAAGCAGGCTTTGAATTTTCTGCTCTTCTTCTTTCCAATATATCTTGAGGTTGAGTGAGTTTCTCCTTCCTGTAAGTTCTCACGAGCTTGACGGACTTTTGCTATAAGTTCTGGTTTTTTTTCGTTGGATCTATAGGTCACATTTAGACTGTCTAACACCTCTTTGAGAAGGAAGACAGTCATGTCTTCTGGTGGCCCCATTTTACGTTTCTCCTTTTCTAACTCTTTCAGTTTCTCCTCCTTCCTCCGAGACTCTTCTTCTTCCTCTTCCAGCTTTGGCAGTAGAATTTCCATCGCCTCCGCGTCTACTTTCAAAGGCCACTTTCTTTCCCCTTGGAGGTTTCCGAAAGTTAGCAAATGTGTTTTGCATTCACTCCACATTATTTCTTTTGTGGGTGATAACAACCACTTGCTATTTTCCTTTTTTAAGATCGAAAGAACTTGAAAGCAAACTGATATTTTTTCTTTCGAGTCGTTTCCTTTCTTCCACTCAAAGACAGGAACAGGGGATTTAGAAAACGTGTTACGCACCAGCCGCAATACCAAACCGCATCTCATACCGAGACGTGGGACCCAGAATGCCGCTATATCCTCAAAATATAGTCCGTTTTCTGATCTAGTTGGTGCTACGAGCCTTTCTACCCGTTCAGAGAAATCATTCCTTGAGACAGCCATCCATCTAGCCATTCTAGAAGTAGATGGCTTATACACTTTTCCCTGCTGAAGAGACAAAAATTCCGCAATGTGATAAAATTCTCCATCATACTCAACATAGTTGGGTGGAACTGAACATTGTGAAGCTGCTGATGTTTTCTCCCGTAATTAAATCTCCTTCGCCTCTTCAAGTGGAACGTGCCTTCATTCTGCTCGCCTTCCTCCATCATGGAAATATCTGACGCCGTCGCAGCAACTAGGTCCTTATATTGTTCCATCCCTTTTACGTTCCCATGCGATGTACAAACAAAGGCATACGTTTCTCTCTCTGAGTCTGTAGAGAATTTGAGATTTAAGCATGATTCGTGGAACCAGTTGTCGCACCCTGGATAATCACAACCAATCCAGTGAGTCGTCTTTGGAGCTTTAAAGGCAGGATTTGCGTATTTACAGGTACCCTTCTGGAAAAGATGGCAATGCCTTGGGTCATCATCGTCATCGACATCACCATTTTCCTCTCCTCCTTCTTCTCGGTCAAATGCATTTGACCTTGGGATGGAGGACGCTGCCAGATCAGATAGCGCAAAGGAATAGCAATGTTCGTTAGTCTCAGCAGCAGAACATGGAACATCGTTTTCCACGTCTAGCAATTCTTCTACGGTTATAGTGTCACTTTCATCAGGACCGTCACGTATATCAGCTAAGGCTTCTATTCCTGGGTTGATATACAGTATGTCCCCTGAATCATCTAATCTTAATATGTTACCAGCAGCTAAAAGTGGCAGCATGCCTAGTCCCTCGATGGTTTTCAGAACTTCTTTTTCTGCCTCCTTGATGCCGCTCAAGATTTCATCTTCCACAAACTCTGGCCAAGATGTGCGAGAAACAACTGGAGGCTCCTTAAGTTTCAGCTCATCGAGTTTTGCTATTCTGCCGCAAATGTCGAGCATGTCCAGCATACAAAAATTTGTTTTCCCTTTACAAAACCCACGACAGCGTGCAAAAAGTCTTTCACAACTGTCAGAACCAAACGTAGAGGGATTAAAAGATTGATCGGGAAGTACTCCGAAAATAATTTTCTCGACAATATAAGCGAGTGTCCCGCAAGCACTATATCGTTGTACGTTTGTAAGGATATAAAAGAGGACTCTATTGGATAATTTGACATCTCTACCCAAGCTTTCCATAATCTGACAAAGCAAACTGAAGACCAAGCAAGCTTTGACCGTTCTTTCACAGTGAGATTTTCATCTGTATATGCACGTAGCATGTTATGTCCTACTTTAAGGTAAACTCGAATTGCTTGACTGCGGTCCTTATTCCACTCGCTCAAGCATTCTCGGACTTCAGGTTGCAAAATTCGTAGCGCTGCAGCCACATTCTGTTTGTCCCTGACGAAAATGTCACTTTTCCATAATCCACTTTTTAATTTGTTCGCCTCATACAACCTCATTAGATCTTCAATCATGACAAACGAATCTCCTAGAACCAGGACGCCGACGCACGTTTAGAATCTGGTTTCTCCATTTTTAATTAGGTGCTTCCAGTCAGGAAACATAACAGTAGGAATTCTCAGGCCATGAACATTCTTGACCACAGAAACAAAACTGAACCCCTTGTGAGATACCGAAATCACTTCATCTACCATGCCATGCCTTTTACTAAACTCATCAAGAAAGTATCTTCTAAATTTAGAGTCTCCATCCGCACCTATTCCGAGAATCTGCATATTATGTTGAGCACCCCAGTTTAATGCGTCCCACGAACCAATTCCTCACTGAAGCCCAGTCTTGCCCCTTAACTACTGGTGAAATTGCAAGGGTAAAACTAGGAACGTGCTCTTGCAGAGGAGTCAACACAAACGCATTAGCTTGCCGCGCCTTTTCCTTACTTTGGTCATTTGTCACCTCGATAATATCTTGTGCAGTACGTATAAAAAATGTCCTCTTCAGATGCAATTCCTACGATTCGATTGCCTCTTACTCTAAGGCATGGTGAAATTGCAGTAGCATCTATGGCCAGGACAAATGGTCCCGTATAACCAACACGTTGATAGAATGAGGCCGCTATTCCAAACTGATCTTCTGTTAGTTTAGTTGCAATAGGAACCTTGCGTCGGGCTGTTGCATAAGCAGTCTGCAGACTCGCCCGCCAATTTTTTTCCTGATTATCTTTAGCAAGGCCGGTCCTCCATAATCTAGAATAATTGCGAACAAGGACTTTGTGTCGTCATTCCAGCATTTTTTCTCATTTATGTTGTGCGCAAGAAGATCGGACACAATCAAAATGAATTCAGTATTTTTTGGTCTTTCCTTTCTACTACTGCAGCCAGCTGAAGCGCGATTTCTGGCAGCTGCTGTTTTAGACATTTGCTTTTCAGATCATGCTGTAATGCGCAAATGACATCTTCTTTTACCGATAACTGTAGTCTAAGTTCAGCAATTTTTTTTTCGATACAATTCTGATAATGAAGCTTTCTCCGCTATATGTTGAATACAAGAGGTGGCAATGTCTAAACGGCTCTTTTAAAATTTTCCTCTGATGCTCCTAACAGACACTGGAACCGAAGGAGTCCCTGACCCTCTGGGTATTGTCTCTACTTTCCATTAACATATTTGAGATTTCCCTCTCCATATGCGACTTTTTTTTGGACTTTGGACAAATCGGAGGAATGTAATAATTTTTCAGTCTCTATCCTAGCCTCTGAAAGCCGGTTCATGTATACAAATTTTTTCGTTGTATACGATCTCTTCAACTGAAACGCGTTGTTTTGAGTTGTCTTGCTGATCCCGCAAAAGGAGATTCTGTCATCATCATTTCACTCAGCCTCTGTCCGAACGCCCTGTTCATTTCTCGGTGTGTATTTGCAACTGCCTGTGAAAATAGAAATCAATTAAACATTGGGTCAGATGACTTGAGTTGGAAAACCCTTAAAACATCGCTTAAAAAGACGCGGAATCAAAACAATGAAAAAAAGGGAAAAAAGAACCCACGCTGTATACCTTTTCTCTTTGTGCATAAGACACCATTTCTGCAACCATGACTGTTTTGGCACTTGCGCTCCGAGATGTTGATGGGCTGGGGGAAGACTTCTGTTTGGCGGTTCCAAAATAACTCGTCAGCAGTTTATTTCCTGTAAGAAAGATGTTCGTGCGTGTGTGTTAAATACGCTACGGTGTATACAGCCCGCCCCTCACAGCATAATATCGCTGAGCAGATTCGTTGGTTAAGTATTAAAAAAACATATTAAAATAAACTGAATGATCACTCAATAGATCAACTACTCTTTTAAAGGAAAACAGCAGAGAGTTGTCAAATATTCGAATAATATAGGTTTTTCTTACAATAGTGATATATTTGAACTAATACAACTTTTTAGTATATTTCCTGTTCTGTTTTATTGAGTAAATTAAATTATATTTTATTTTTCCTGGACTTATTTAGATTCTGAAAACTTCTTTTTCTTCGTGTTTAGTATCAAGAATAGATCGGATTCAAACTGACCAAACGCGGGAATCAACTGCCAGATTCTCTCCCAGTATCTTTTTCACACGCTCACTGACTGCCGTGTTTGTGCTAATTAAGTGTCACACGTTCACTGACTGCGGTGTTTGTGCCAATTCGTGTCTCGGGTGTGTTAACGTTTGTTTTCTCTCGGTTTTCTTGATCTTTGTTGAAACTGGTTCAACCATGGAAGATAAAGAATACGTTGAAGTGTCAGTCAAGATAGCAGAAAAAGAACTGCCTGATTTGAAGAAATTTGTTGAAGAGTTGCGGAGAGATTAAAGTAATGGAAAATGCGGTGAATGGTACCAATGGTACGCAGTGTTGTTTGTTTATTTCACTCATGAATGTTATGTGTTTTGAGATGTTTTTAAGCCTCCTCCATTATAGTTTAAACTGCAAAAATTTTAGATTTAGACCTTGTGGAACTGACACTGAATTTTAGGAGCGATTTAAGACAAGAATGGTCTTAACCTTTTCCACACAGGAAAAAGCACGTGTAATGAAGCGACAGAAGCTACCGAAGCTACAAACGCTCAAACGCAAGTCGTGGAGATTACAGACGAAGCAGATCAAGAAGCCGGTGCAGCTAAGAAGAATACGGAAGATGTCATTCTTTTACCGAGGGAAATCGCTTCAAAAGTTTCGAGATGGCTCCTCACAAAAGGGGTTTCCCAAACATTCTTTGCTAAAAGGGTAGTGAATAGGTCCCAAGGTTCTTTCTCAGACTACATCACAAAAGCGCCAAACGAGCTGCCAAAAACACATGGCCGGGCAATATGGGTAACCTTGAACGCTTTTCTAAACGACCCCAAACAGCAAGCCGCATTGATCGATGAATACAAGAAAGGTAAATATCTATTTATAGTTGTTGTATTTACATTCTTTTATAATAAAGTGAAATATCATTGCTCGTCACCTTCTTGGTGACAATATTTATAGCATGACACCTTTACCACCGCTGACGGTTAGGCTCGACCACTGTAAGTCATTGAATGACAAAAGGTTAGTATAGGGTTTCTTGACTAAATTAATTTTTTTTGCTTTAAATTATTTTAGTGTCAAAATCACGGAGGAAAGAAATTGATGAAAGTGACAAGCCTCCAAAAAGGCGGTTAAACGATACAGCGACCTCGAATTATCCACGCTAGATTCCGTCTTCAAGTCATCGAACGGATTGCCTGAAAGAAGCGTACTAGAGCGAACGGCCAAGTTACTAAAACTAGAAGAGCGACAGGTAAGCCTAGAATATTTCTTTGCAACAAATTGGTAAACGATCAAATCAAACTGAAAACTTGATCAATTCGTTGCTAAACTTTACAGCTGAGTTGTCGATTTGACATCTTTGTTTAGCCTTACCTTTAGGTTTACTTGACAAAACATTATTGTCGCCGTCCAAATACCATCCAGCTTTTATTTTGTGTGACTCTTCCTTGCTATGGCGCTTCACCAGCCACATCGTTTTAGCGCTATCTCCATAGGTTAAAGTCAAGCCACATGAATTACAAGTAATCGAGTTCTTGAAATCA